CGACGGTTACGTAGTGGCAAGGATAGACGGCATGGACGTCTTGAGCTGCTACGCGCCGCCCAGCTTGCCGATCGCCGGACTCCTCGGGTCCGTGTCCTCCTGCCTACGGGCCAGGAGGCTCGGGCGGCCGCGCGACGGCAGAGGGGAGCTCGTGGCCGGGGATTTTAACGCTCACTCCCCGGTCTGGGGGTCGGCGGACACGAATCAGCGTGGCGAAGAGCTGTTGGACCTGATGTCAGCCCTCGGGCTGGTGTCGGCCAACAGGGGATCCACCCCGACGTTCGAGGGTCACTCCTCGAGCTCGGTGGTGGACGTCACGCTGGTGTCCCCGTCACTGCACCCGCACGTGACCGGCTGGTCGGTTCTCCCGTACAGGGAAAACCTCAGCGACCACCGGTACATCGTGTACGAGTGCGGTGATGGCGGCCGTCCCCCTCGAGCCGTGCCCCGCATGCCGTCACGCGGCGGGCGAGTGGGCTGGCGAGTCGGACCTACCACGGACGTCGACGCTTTTGAGACGGGCTTATTGCTCGCTCAATGGTCGGCGCCCGCGGTACCGGACCGGCGTGTCTCCGCGAGCGAAGCGGCGGAAGAGTTGGACCGGAGGGTGGTCGCAGCCTGCGACTTCGCCCTCCCGGCCAAACGACCGCCGACGACTCGCGGACCGCCAGTCCACTGGTGGTCCGAGGAGGTGGCGGCCAGGCGTGAGGAGTGCGTCAGGGTCAGGAGGGCCATGACGCGCTCCAACCGACGGCCGCGAGACCCGGAGTCCCCGGACCCGAGGGAGGCGCTGAGATCGGCCCGCAAAGAGCTGAAGCTCGCCATCAAGCGGGCCAAAGCGAAGTGCTGGGCCGAACTCGTGAAGTCGGTGGACCACGACCCGTGGGGGAAACCCTATCGGGTCGTCCTGCGGAAGCTCCGCGGCCCACCGGCTTCCGGTCAGCTGGAGGCGGAGGTGCTGGAAAGGGCGGTCGACACGCTCTTTCCGACACATCCGCCCCTGCCTCCCTCGGCGTTCGGGGACGACGAGTCGATGGAGGAATTCACCGCCCAAGAGGTGGCTGACGCAGTGGCGCGGGTGCGGGGCCGGAACACAGCTCCCGGCCCCGACGCGATTCCAAACCGGGTGTGGGGGTTGGTCCACGACCTCGCCCCGGAGTGGATAAGCGCCGTCGCTAACCGCTGCCTCGCGGAGGGTGAATTCCCCACGAGGTGGAAGAAGGCCAGGCTGGTGCTCCTGAGGAAGGGTGACAAGCCCGAGGGTCTCCCCTCGTCGTACCGACCGCTATGCATGTTGGACGACCTGGGGAAGATCCTCGAGCGGCTGCTCGTCACCCGAATCGAAGCCCACCTGGCCTCAGTTGGAGGACTGGCCGAGGGCCAGTTCGGTTTTAGGAGAGGGAGGTCGACGGACGACGCGGCCTCCCTCTTTAGGGACCTGGCCCTCAGAGCCGAGAACGGACCGGGCTTCGGGGTGGCGGTGAGCCTGGACATCCGGAACGCGTTCAACTCCGTGCGATGGTCACACATCCTCGGAGCGCTGGACGCGTTTCGGGTGCCTCCGTACCTCGGGCGGATGATCCGGTCGTACTTCGGCGACCGGGTCATCACATACGAGAGCGCCGCGGGCCCGAGAACCAGACCTGTGACGGGAGGCGTCCCGCAAGGGTCGGTTCTCGGGCCTCTGCTGTGGAACATCGCGTACAACGCGGTGTTCCGCGTTCCGCTACCACCGGGCGTGCGCATCGTCTGCTATGCGGACGACACGCTGGTGGTGGCGGAAGGCGCCTCGTCCGAGGAAGCTGGATCCCGGGCGAACTGCGCTCTTAGCGCAGTCACCGCCTGGATCCAGCAGGAGGGGAGCGGACTGAGCCTCGCCCTGGACAAGACCGAAGCGGTCCTGTTCACGGGCAGGTACAAGTTCGCCCCTCCGCGGCTCACCGTGCTGGGGGTGGACGTCCCGCTCAGGGATTCCATGACGTATCTGGGCCTGGTCTTCGACAAACGTCTGATGTTCGGGCCGCACATCACTCGTGCGGCCCAACGGGCCCAGAAAGTCATGGACAGCCTGGCGGGGCTCATGCCCAATCTGGGAGGACCGAGGGAAATGCGGCGCAGACTGCTCGTCAGCGTCGTTCACTCGGTCCTCCTGTACGGGTCCCCGGTCTGG